AAATTCCTTGTTTTTTTTTTTTTTGTTTTTTTTTTTTTTTTTTTTTTTTTTTTTTTTTTTGGCAAGATTATTCCATTACCTGCCTGCACTGATCAAACATTTGGCTTTAAAAATACTCTGACAGCAATAACTCTGTTAACAATTCATCTTCACTCAGCTCCAAAAATCCAGAAATCAACTAAAAGGCAACAAAAAAAACGAGCCATAGACATTTGTGAGGACTGGCTGCTAAGGCAACAGCACTGATGTCTTATCTACACTCCAATAAAATGGTCAGTTTAAAGGAATTCCCAGGTGTTGGTTGTTGTGAGAGGCTTGCATGCTACACCGTCAGTTGTGGAAAAAGGTTTTGGCAGATCCCAGAGACTTCCTTGGCCTTGGGTTGATGATGAAGCAACGTGGCTAAAGCATCCCACCCACATCCTGATTGAGACAACCTGCTTGAACGGGGAAGGGAGAGTCCAATCGAGGCGTCAGACCGTCCCACAGAAAAACCAGACTTGAGTCCAGGCCTCCTGCTGAAGAATCAGCATCATTGCCTTCCTGTGCTCCAGAAACACAACAACAGAGAGCGGAGACGAGCTTTTCTCTGCTACAGCGATTCTTTAATCCACCTCCATTCTTCTTCTTCTTTTTTTGTTTTTTTGTTTCCCAAATTCTCTTCGGGAGTGCATGCATCACACCATTGCTGCAGAAGCAGATGGCAGGTATCTGGTGGTGCTGGTGGAGGTGGTTGGTTTGGGCACGCCCGGGCTCGGGGTCCTGATGTTGGAGTAGCTGGTCACTGTGGGTGCGGGGCTTAGCCTGGTGCAAACACTGCCATGGGTGAAGGCGCTCGACCGGCGCTCGCTGTTAGTGTGCTGCAGCTGCTGGCTCTGAGAGGGCCTGCTCCCTTTCCTGCGGCCCTCCAAAAAGTATGTAAGCATCTGGCCCTTGCCCTTCACACTGACCTGACCACGACACACAAAGTTGTAGTAGTCGGTAATGAGGCGGTAGACGTCCTCTGTCACCTGGAGGGCCAAAAAAGAGGACTAACGTTAGTTGGAACCAACATTTTAAATAGTTAAATATTCATCTGCATTGCCTATTAAATATATGGTAACATAACTTTATTACCACCTGCCTAATACTGTGTTGTCCTCCTTTTGTCATCAGAACAGCCCAGAGCGGAGGACCCATAGACGAGACTGGATCCCTTAATAATGTTGTTTAAGTGTCTTATCCAGCCATGTATATATGTATGTAATCACATAAACTTAATGCCATTTCAGATTTTTTAAAATTTTGATTACAATAAACATTCTTTTCATTTTACTCTGTGCCCAAAACCATGTGACTTTGGCATATAAGCCTTGCAAATGAGTGGATGTTAATGGCTCTATTCTGAAAGTGTCCTCAAGAAAGTAATCTGTGCTTTAAAAACAAAAAATAAAGAAAATGGGACAAAAGTTTTTTTTTTCCAAAATGTACTTATTTTTGTTGATCTTTTCAGTTAGCTGATTTTCAACAAACCCACATTTATTTATTTAAAAACAGTTTTTAAGGGGCCTAATGTAATATTCTAAATGTAAATGTCATCTTTTCATTAGATGCAAATGGAAAATTATTATAATTAACGGAAATAAAGGCTTTCAGACATTCATCTGTGCATGCTTATCCTGCATATTTCACTTAGTGATAAAGTTCCTACCATAAATGGGATTTTCAATGCTAATCAAATTATTTTAATGTGTCTATATATGTATATATTATATATACAATTTATGGCAGACTGTCAGGGGTGCAAAAACAGGCCCTGTGCAAAAACACATTATTTTTCAGAAATCCATATTTCATATATAATGAAATGAGAAATAAAGTCTCAAAACTAAAACATTTTCTATACATTGTTTTCAGTTTTTGACAATTATAAAGACTGTTAAAAATGCACAAATCAAATTATGTCCATACTGCACAGGAATCCTGTTCAAGGTCAACAATCTGAAAAACTCTCCAAAGCATGAACAAAATGGATACATTTAGTTTAATAAAGCCTTCAGAAAACTATTGATAAAAAACAAGCCATTTAAAGGATTACAAGAAAGTCTGGCTACTTAGAAACAAAATATAGGTTTGTGTATGAAACTGCACCAATATTTTATGTCAACACTGAAAATAATACATACCAAAACAATTATCTCGAAAATTCCACCAAAACACCAAACACTACACAGAAGGTTGACTAGTTAATAACAACTTTCCTAGAGCTACGGCTGGTCGCTAAAGCGAAAACATGACTACTGCTTCTTAAAAAAAAAAAAAAAAAAACACTTAAGATCAGGTGGAAACATCACAGGGTGCATGCGGGAATTAGCAACACAACAGAGGCCCTTTTCAGAAATCCACTTGTTTTTACAAATGTGATGACGTCTGTGTGACTACTAAGAAAGCTGCGTGGTGCTCTGCCTAAACAATCTCAACAACATGTTTAATGAGGGAAAACAAACTGTTTACATCTACTTTGCCATTGCAGACAGAGTAGCTGTTGCGTGTAGTTTGATACTTGTTTTTTTGGACAGCTCCAACAGGTTATACAAATAGAAGCCTTGCAGGTTTTTGTTTACAGAGATGAAAGAAAAGCCTTCACAGGAAACAGTAAATCTCTATGATATTTGTAATAACCTTAAGCACAGAGAAGAGACATGTTTAGATCCTGTCCAAGGTTCATGTGTGTTATGTAACAGCAATGCTTTAAAAACCAGAACTGCGTTTCAAAAGATACAGTAAAGTTATTATTAATAAACTTATTAATTTTGCACAGTGAATTATTTTTATCAGAAATGTATCACTATGCAGGTGTGGAACAACGTAGTAAAAATTCTTCAGTTTGTCTTCCATTGTTGCACAGTCTTAGACCATTATAAACTACAAATAACTACAATTTCTGGTTTGTTTATGCTGATGTTGGCTCTCTCTGAGTTGTTTGTGCAATTCAAACTAAATTAAATGTGTTGGGACGATTTGTTGAAGTGCTCATCATCAGTGACCTCAGAATTATCTCATGTCTAGAGGAAAGATAAATAAAGATAACAGAGGGCAGTTATAAAGAGGTCATTGCGAGTTTTAGTGAAACTTAAAACGTACTGAATCAGAAGTGCTTTCATGCAATATTTGGTTGGTTACTACATCTCACATCTGCTGCAGAGCAATGACAGATTTGTCCAGTTGGATGGCCTCAGCTTTCCTCACTGCACACACCTGATGGATGTTTTTAGTGACCAAGATGCAAAAAATGCTGGAAGAAAGTCGTAGAAAAGTGTAATAGTAAAGTAAAGAAAAGCATCTGATGAATTTGTATTAACTATAATCAATATCATTGTTGTATTTTACCTGTTTACTGATACGGTGCATTTACCATCTTAAACCATCTTCGATAAAAAAAAAGGCCTGGTGGTATGATTTTGTTTGCTACAATGTAAATATAAAAGCATATTTTTTTTGTTTAAAAGTTTTAAAGCTTTATATGATAAACAACTTTTGTCATAGAAAAATCTATTAAAAATCATGGATCCATCTCTGATGCTTATTTTTTTTAGGAAAGCATCAAGTTAGTCCAAGTAATTTAATGTAGCCCCAGTGTAGCTTTTTGCAGTTAAAGTGCTGCAGCAGTAGTTTAAGTATCATACCTGTATTTTTCCTTGGACTCCCGTACTGTCCATCCTGCTGGCTACGTTGACTGTGTTTCCCCAGATGTCGTACTGAGGCCTGCGGGCTCCAATAACTCCTGCCACTACAGGGCCAACGTTGATTCCTGGTGTAAACATAGTGAACAAAGCCCCCATAATCACATACAAACTTAATGTTATTTCAGATTTTTGTTTTTTTACCATGTGACTTTGATGTATAAGCCTTACAAATGAGTTGATCTTAATGGATCGACAGTTCTGGAAATGCCCTCCAAGAAAATAATCTGTGCTTATTTTTTTAAAAGAAAATCTGACAGAAGTTTTTTTTTTTTCCAAAATGTACTTATTTTTGTAAATTTTTTTTTTACTTATGCAATTTAAAATAATACATTTTCTGCCTGTAATCAGTACCTGGAAGTTAAGTGAAATTTACAGCAGGTTGCAAATCTAATTTATTGAAAGTCCAGCATTAAGGCACCACCTCTGGTAAGCAAAATCAACAGACACAAAATCAACTTTCTTCTATGGCCATCCCAGTCCCAAGACCAGAAGCCAATACAAAACTTGTAGAGTAAGGTGAAGGGAAGAGAGCATATGAGGCTGATACTGCCACAGTGGTTAAAGACCCATCTACTTGTACACTCCAACTTTAGGAAATATCACACAAAAATAAGAGTAGCTTGAAGGTAAACTGTGTTTTTTCAAAGTTTTAATAGCAGAGGTGCCAGTAACAACCATATTAGCAAAAACATGTGGCAACTTTAATTCACAATCAATAAATGTGATAGAAAAGATCAGGTTTTTCTAGATCTTTCACAGAGAGATTATGCATCTTTACCACAGGTGTCGGTGAGTGTGGAGGGAGCTGAATGTGACTGTGTAGAGAAAGGGTCTCACATTGCATTCCTCTGCTAATGAGCTAACAATGGAGCCAGATGTGCTGCAGCAGAGCAACACCTATTAGTTACAGGACTCTGGCCTTCAAAGAATGCAGATTGAGACCACTAGCCTAGAGTGAGTAAATGTTAAAATAGCATGAGTTGTCAAAATATCCTCTTGAAAAGCCACCTTCTGATTTTTAATCAGAAGAAACAACTATTTTTATAAGTGTGGAATCACTTAAAGCAAAAGTTCAAAGGTGATGCTAAGTTTGTTCCAAAAGAGTCATGGATGAAAACTTTCCAATCTGACATTTAGTCGTGCTTCATAAAAGTCTTCCTCCCTAATGGACCCAGTAAAGGTACTTACCAAGATCCACTGTATCTACAGTTTTCGAATGGAAACCATGAAATATGTTTCTTCCAGCTAGAATACTGTGGTATCATGTCATAACAAATGAAGGGCAGTGTTTTCTCTTGGTTAATGCCAGAAACATGAAGTTTGTTCAACTGCCAACTAAATTAAGCAAAATAAAACACCCTGACTCGGCAGACAGGATAGCTCTATGTACACCAGCGTATACTGGGATTAAACAAAACTCTCCACAGGATACGGAACACAATGGACCCAAGAACTTCAGCTGACAGGCTTCCTGGAGGTGATGCTCTGTTTTGTGATGTATTTTCCTGGCAAATTTACTGGAATGGGCCTCCCCCAAGGTTAAAAGGTCTTTAATGTTTGGACCACTCAGAGAGTTTGGCTCTTTACTCACCTACTCTCAGGACAAAGTCATTGTAGGACTGGTAGTTGATGGCATCCAGAACATCAAACATCTCAATGGCAAAGTCTGACACTGTGCATAAGTGTGAGGTGATGGACTTTTTAGTCTAAAACAAACAAAAAGAAATCACAAGTGAAAAGGACAAATTTGTGTGAAACATGAAAAAAAAATCTCAGACATAAAAAAAGTCTAATGTTCAGCAGAATTTGTCGTTAAAAATAACCAAACAGACTTAAAGGATCTGACAGAAGAGTCATCTTTCAGCTGGTCATATATTTAATGTAAGTGAAATATTACGTCTAACTTTTATTCACTGATTTTGTAAAGTCTGAAACTGATTTTAGCTGATTGAGATTTATGCTTAAGAACAGCAAATAACAGCAAGATAATGTTTTTAACTGAAAATTGAAAATAGTAAAATAAGAAGCCCAGTTAGTCATCTCACTCTGCATCACAAAAATTTTTTTTTTAAAAATCACAAGAATAAATTATGAATTATTTTGAAATAACAATATTGTTCAACTTAATTTTTGAAAGACAAACATGCAGATTTTCAATTCTGGATGAGATTTATTCATTAATTTATTATTACTAAACACGAGGGGGCGACAGTGGTGAAGACGGTTGCAATCAGTGAATTGCTGGTTTAATTTCCGGTCCATAAGACATTTCAGACTGACCCAAGGCAGCTATAGGTACAATCAAGTGTGTGAATGTACCCTTTGAGATTTCAATTTGAGATACAAAGGGCATTCTAAATAAAATTGATTATTATCATTGAACACATTTATCAAGGAACAAATATTAAGTTATCTTTCTATGTCAATGGAAAATAATTCCTAAGCCAGGTGAGTTATTCACCTGCATGTCCAGGAGCTTACTGCAAAGTACAGCAGGCCTAATGGTATCAAAAGAACTGGAGAGAGAAAACAAACAAAAAAAAACACAACTATAGATCTGCTGGCGTCATCTTACATTTGTTGACATAATACTGGTTCATTTATTACTGGAAGTTTAGGGGACTTTATATTTGTTTCATTGGCCTTACAGTTGTTAGAAACTGGACGTAAACTATGGTAAAAACAAAAACTATGGTAAAAAACTAAAAAAAACCAAAAATGGTCCAAAAAGAAACCCCTCTGAAATCAGAGCCCCTGAATAACAACTGAGCAAAATAAATACATTGAGATGTTATCTCAGTTTTGGATTTTCTTATACATTCTTAATGCAGTTGTACATCAATCTCCTTTTTTGTAATCCTAACTGGATTAGTTGTGTGAAAATCCAGAAATGCTACAACAGAGCACCCTCCAAACAGCAACTGTAGCTTGAGGTTCCTTTAATCTCTGCAGGCATTTCAGAAAGGTCTCCTTTGTCTGTCATCTTTAGCTTAGGTTAGGAAAGCTTCAGGAATGAGAAATGTACTAATGCCAGAGATCAGCAATCCCTCACTTTTTACGTGTTAGTGTAATAAACAATCAAGGCACCTGAAACACGTTGGATCTCTACATAATGAAGTCAGATATTGTGCTAACATTCACAGACAAAAAATCTAATCCTGATCTAAATACAAATACCACGAGTACCTTGGAAGCAGTCGTAGGAACCAGCCCCACGGCAGCCATGTACGTGCTGCCAATAGTCTTGATTTTCTCAATATCCCTGTAGCACTCTTTGTCCATGAGCTGCAAAAGGTATTAAAAATGGTAAAAAAAAAAAAACACTCCCATAAAACTTTTTCTTCTTTAATTTGCAAATTATCAGTAAATTTATGTATTGCAGCTAGAATATCTAAAGCATGTTTTGTAAATGAGTGCTTCGTGTTGCTGATTACAGATCCAACCAGGCCAAAAGTCATCTGCAAGTAATTTGTTACATTGAAGAACTTTCCCAACCATAACCAAAGCTCGGCATATTACATCAGTAAACATGGTATTTCTATAAACCTCACTCCAGCCCACAATCTCATTTTTAAAAGATGACGCTCTATATGTCACCCTGCAGTAAGAAGGGGACTCGTGGACCTGAGATCTGCAATGTGGAAAAAACATCTAAAAACAGATGATTTATAGGACAGATGGGCGAATGGAACGGATCGTTCTACCAACCTCGTCGAAGTCCGCAATGATCTCATTGAGCAGCCTCAAACACTCGACTCCCATGTTGTTCCCATCCAGCTCGATGTAGAAGTCATTGAAGTTGGCAATAGAGGCAAACAGAACACCAACTTGAGCGTAGGACTGATAGTAAAGATCCTAAAGGGGTGATGGAGAAATGGTGTATTTGTATATATTTTTATTCATTATATTTCATAAAGTTGTTTGTGTTTCTGACTCCATGTCACTGGTACAATATGACTTGGTGTATCAGTGACACTAAGGCACAGATACTATAAGGAAAGCTTTGAAATTTTCTTATAAAATAGTTTTTTCCTTTTACCTGTTTGTTCATAAAGTTCAAAAAGTGGTACCTACCAGTATTACTTTACTGCTAGTTTATTTATCACATACCCTCTCTTTTGATATACCCTAGTGCTCTTTCTATAAAGCTCCTTCAGACCACCTGTATGTATTGCATGGTGCATAATATGTAATCTGAGTTTCTCTTTCAGTTGCTCAAAAAGAAATATGAAATTATGCAAAAATGGAGCAAAATCGCCAAATGCAAAACATAAGTAGAACCCTCATCAGGGCTGACGATGACAATGCCGAAATGTCCGCAGGCAGAAGCAGAAGCATCACACAGTGAGAATGCTTTCTGTAATCACACCGTTAGTGGCCTGGAACCTTAAGTCCCACAGTGCCGTGCCGTTGATGACTGAACTTTAGCCTAGAGGAAACAGAGGAAGTCTTTCTGAACGCTGCATCTCTGTGGGGGTCAGCTGGAAGCAAACTTCCTTGCTGATCCACATCGTCTGATGCATTACCCCGCTGATTGTTGGAGGATAAACTACTGTTTTGTTCCCATTTTTGCTTGTAAATTCCAAAACCCATAAATGTGAATGTGCTGTTTCCAAAAACTGTTGAGAGTAACTATTTAAATGTATGAGTAATATTCCCTTACAGATGCTAAAAATATCCCCATGTGGATTTTTGTGCTATTTAGAACTCTGCAGCCATGACGTGGATGCATTGATTTTTTTCACTGCTTTGTGCAGATTCCAAAAACTAAATAACTAAAGGTGAATCTTTATCTAGAGTCACTTCAAGTCATTTATGCACTTAAAATGTCTGGCCATAGGTTGTGTCTGTGAAAAGAACGTAGATGTACTGACATTTTATGTCTGTGAAGTCCTTATAGTTCCCATTAGCTCTTTTTTAAAAATCAGAATGTAGTAGTTATTCTGAATTACTGCACATAATTCCCTGCTGTTTCCTCTGATTTATTTTAGTAATTGTTAAAGGCCCAAGATGAACATGTCCAAAAGCTCAATTTTCTTTAATGCATTTACTACTTTCATGACTTAAGCTTTTTAATTTAAACACCACATATAAATTCAGCTCGAGCTCTGTTACTTGTTAAAACGATGAGGAGATAATTAAGAAATAGCAGACACCTGTGCACGTTTTCAGCTGCTGCGAAACAGAACTGCATACTAAATACCTTAAAGTATTTTTTTTCTTTAATTTCCACATAAAATAACCTTAAATAAGTTTAGCTTAAAGTTTATACTTAAGTGTTTCAGATCAAGTTTTAAATGAGACCAATATAACAGGTGAACACAAAATGCAGATTTCAAATGATAATTTTGTTCAAGTTTTCTCTCAGTCTACATAATGTTTTCCTAAATGTGTTGCAGATCATCAAGATACTTTCTGGCAAATGTGAGATATTTTTGTGAGTTTTTTTTTTTTTTTTGCTTTTTGCTTTTTGGGGGGGTTGAGCTGTAGTTTTGTTCTTGGAACTCTCCCAAAAGTGTCATTTTATATTTTTTCTCTTTCTTATCATTGAATCATAAACACTGACTTTAACCGAGGCAAGTCAGGCCTGCGGTGCCTTACTGTTTTATTACCATCCTATATGAGTTTTTGATGCACTCTTGGAGTAACTTTGGTTTTCACTCCTGGGGAAGTTTACCTCTCTCAGATATTTTCTGCATTTAGAGGTAATGTGTCTCACTGTGGTTCCGGATCTATTAACCTACTTCATGATGCAAAGAATGAGCTTATCTGCAAAATATTACTGCACTTTAGTGGAGAAATCTACATCTTTACATTTTTGTGGCACAATTGATTCATTTTAATTATATTATTTGTTGTTCCTGTAAAACAAATTTTTATTGTTTTATATGAACAAATATATTGAACGTTTTTGCTGTTTATTTAGGATATGCATGTGTTTTTGCTAAATGTGTGTAGGGACAACATCCTAAACCATGGGATGGTTGAGACAGAAACCTTTACAGAAATCCTGCAGTTTCAAAAGCCAGTAGAACATGGGTTTTATTGACTGGTAATATTATAATTCAGAACAACAGCTGAGGGCCAGCCTATTTCTGTAAACTCTGCACCGGTGCACAAACTTTATCAGGGCCTGTAACGGGATTAAACATGGCTCTGTACGTCATCTCAGGGCAACATAAACAGGAGGGAATACGATTATTGACTTTCACCCATTAATTGTGGAAAAAAGGCCACAGTGCAGCTGCCGAACCACAGTTTATTGCTGAAATGTGAGAATGCCACCTATTCTCACATTTCTGGTCTTTGCGGTTTCAGAAACAATTTACAGAGCTATGAGAAAATTAAAAGTGTTTCCCTTTTTTTTTTTTTTTTTACCTCAAAGCCACTGAGGTGAAATTCTGCTTTTTGCAGATTGTTATCCTTTTCTCACTCTTTTATGTACAGAGAAAAATTCAACTTTGCTGAATGCATAGATTTAGGTTTCCTTTCTGCATTTATCATACTTTTTGTAGGGTTCTTTCTGGATTTCTTTTTACTGTACCCTTATAGATTCCTCACCATGTTCCTGGGGTTTGACATTAGGAAGTGCTGAGCCACGTGAGCCGGCAGCAGGTTGAACAGGATCCTCTTATTATCCAGCTTCACCTTCTCCATGTCATCCCGCTCCTCCTCTGCCTGGAGTCACAAACAGCGGAGAAGGACAGTTTTCTTCACACCGGAAATGACACTAATGGTTAAATGGTGGAATTGTAATGGCAAGTCCTTATCACTAGAGGGAGATAATGATTTGCAAACAAGGCAGAGATAGAGCTTTTCTTAAAATAGTAACAGTCAGGCTTTTGTTCCACAGACAAAACACAAGAAAACTGTAGGTTTTAGGGGAATACTTACTGTGAAAAACAATCAATTGTAAGAACAACCTAAAATTGACGAAAGTATAATGCTTTTATGAATTTATTTTGTTTAATACAATGCAATGTCCTCCACAAAACTAGCTTTCTCATAAAGTAATCCACATTACAAAATAATCATTATCAACGAAGATGTTTATGTTCCATTTTAATGTCCATTTAACAATGTCATGGTCTCTGCTGGGCTTCCTTATATAAAAAATTTTCAAACTACTTACTATAATAACTGAGCTTACCACACAGAAAATTATGATTTTCAAAACACAGTAAATGCAGCAGAAAAACAAGAAGCCCATGCTGTAGCAACATCTTAAAAGATGACTCATTTGAAATGATTTTCTTTGTAAAGTACCTTGACATGGCATTTGTTGTTCACTTTAATGTATTTACATACATTAAGTGAATTTAATTTATTTATTTATTTGAGGTGGTTTTGTCATATTTGTGTTTGGAGCGACATACGTCATTCCTGTCCTGTTCAGCTTCTTACTCTAACATTTTCTAGATTAATTCTGTGTTATATAAATTATCAGTCAGTGCAGATAGTAGTCATATAGATAGAACTGGATGACAAAGTCACTAAAATGTTTTCATTTTTAATGTGACTTCTCCTTTCTTCCTCACTTGACTTTGGGAGCCTTAAAACAATGGTGTTCAAAGTGTGCCCTGATTTTTGGCTTGGGATCCAACCAAGGGTCATTGGGAGGATGCACAACCTACTATTTAATACATTTCTACCTCCAAATGTTCACAATAAGAGATGGTTTCTAAATGCCTGCATGCACTCTCACCTGAGTTGCCCAAAGATAGTCGAGCCGCAGCTTCAGATCCAGCTGCCTGGAGTGAAGAGCCAGAGCTCCAGAAAACAGCAGAACAGCCAACACGGGATCGTAGCCTCGGGTGTGCAGAAAGCCACCACTGAACGATGATGTAAAAACAGACACACAAAAATGTCATCCATACAAAGTAAAAAATTAGGCTAATTTAGAAATTGTCTAAGTGCTGCTACAGATGAGGTATTCAGGACTCTACTTAAGTGAAAAATCCAGCTCATAAGAGCTGTTTGAGTTATAGTCCTTCAGGAGTAGAGTATCTTTACCTCAAAGAATCAGATATCTTACAGGATTTTTTTTTTAATTGTTTGGATAAAATTTACACTTTGTAAACCAGCTCAAAACTAAAGCTAGAAGGTCTAACCCCACAGCCTGGCGGTAGCCGCTGCTTTCCATAACCGCCGTGTAGGTAACAGAGAGCAGGAGGAGGAGGAGGAGCTTAGGTAGCGATGAAACGCGGAGGTAAGGGACCACAGTGAGAGTCCCAGCCACACAGGACAGCAGGGCATACGCCATGCTGGGACCAGTCTTGTCCACTCCGGTGCTGTTGGCAGGTCCGACCCCGAGGGCGTCCGCAGCAATGTCCTCCACGAAATGGGTAGAGTTTGTCTCAACTTTACCCCACGGTACACATCCCGCCTGGAAGAAATCAAACATGACCATGCAACAACGCCTTCCCAATCAGGATTCATAGGATATGAGTGCAGGTTAGTTTCAGTAATCTGAAAAGTGATCCATTATCTCATGATCATGTAAGAAATGGCATGAATCGGTTCACAGTGGATCAAAATTGTGTTTGTTTTACTGCGGTAAAACGTCCTTCTCAGGTGTTTTTGGGGATCAGATTCTTGTTGAAAACTTCAATGAAGGCTAAAATCAGGATATTGAATCCATAATTCTGAATCATTGCCCATCAGAATACATAGATCTATAATTCCCTCCAAAAACTAATGGGACAAGACAAAATCCTTCATTCTTGTGTTTCATTTTTACTATAAAAAGACAATCCAATTAGCGAAATAATATTACAGAAAAGAAAACAGAAAACAGTGAGTCAAGCAAGGTTACTTTTCTAATGGCTTAAGGACTGAAGTAAGCTTTTTGCAGCATTTTAAACAAATGAACACAGTAAATGCAGCAGAAAAACAAGAAGCCCATGCTGTGGCAACATCTTAAAAGAAAGCATCCTCAGCATTTAATTGAGTGAGGAGCTGCTCTACTTTACAGTAATGGGGAAAAAAAGACATCCATTCTTCAGTTTATATATAGAGACATAATACAAATCTCTGGTTCTGTCATTTATTTTCTAAACATTGTTCCCTTCATAACAGACTGAGAGGGCCACGGAACAATTTTTCCATTTCCCATTAAAAGGAACTATTTTTGCCCATTTTTAACTCTTTATTAAAGTCCAGTAGATATTTATTATAAAACTAATTGTATTTCAAAAGCTCAAAATGCCATTAACCCCAGCAAGGTTCCCAGGGGCTTTTGGAACATAAATCAGGTTCATATAACCACAGATTTTCCACCGTACTTTAGAATGAGAATGATGTACTTTTCCCCATTATCATCTTTTGATTTGGCCAGACCCATCTGGAGTGTTTGATGCATAAAAGTTTCATTCTTAGTCCCAGATGACCAGGTGACATTCCACCTGGCCACCTACATGTGGAAGTAGTTAGTGCAGTCTAACTACCTCCACATGTAGGTGGAGGTAGTTAGACTGGACTTGCGTGTAGTTTATTTTACAATATTTCCCTTTATGTTTGTGAATGTAAGACAAAAGACAAAAAATATATATTTTTTAAGTACAAAACATAAAGGCCCCTCAAGTCTTCAGAGACCTGCTTACTTAATGTTTCCAGGAACATGACTGAACAAGGTGAGGCAGCATAATGGGGGCGAATAATTACAAGTATCTACTGATTTCCAGCACAACGACTTACCACACAAGCCTGAGTAACAGAGTAGGTGAGCAGAACCAAGAAGATGCAGAGGACTGTTCGAATCTGGATGGTCAGACAGCCTGGTTGGCACTACGATCAAAGAAAAAAGCTGATGGATTGACAGTAAAAAACACTCAGCATACAAAGTACCTCTTAGTGTATTTTCCTAGTATTTTGGACTCACTATTTTATGTTAAAGAAGTGAGAATATTTAGTGGAGTGGCTTATGATACGCTATATATATTTTTTTTATACAATAAACAATGAAATTCTAAAAGACATGAGGCCACCTCAGAATGATGATATGCATACCACATTAAACAAAGTGCAATTAAAACAGATGGGAAGAGCGAACAGGAGGTCCTACCTGAACTCTGGTGAGATGTAGGTACATCACACAGGCCACGTGGAAACACACACACAGCACCAGCAGCAGCAACACCAAGACCCCCCTGACAAATAGAAACAAGGATCTAAAACACATCCTAAAGTTTTCACTTAGATAAACAAAGAATGAGTAAGTGTGTTAGGGATGCTCGTACTGTGGGATCATTAGCAGATAGATAAGGCCAAACAGGGCACCCAGGATCAGAGAGAGAACCACCGCACTGATGAAATGGTCATCATACACCTGGTGATACTGGGGAAACACAGAGACTGTAAGAAGTTGAAGATGCAAGAGCAGTATGTCACACATCACTCATGACAAAGAAAATACATATGTGCAGGAATAAATTGGGCCATGACTTTGATGGAAGTGAGCTATGCAAGTGAGCTTGCATCTATTGCAAAGAAAATGTAAAATGCTGACTGCTCAGAAGTGCTTCACACAACCCCAGCTGAAAAAAATAAACTTCTGCTGAAATCGTCCATTAACTCATTACAGATGTTCAGTAACACAGATTGATTGTGGTGGCTATCCCAAAGCTGACAGCTGTGACTGGTCAGTTCCACCGTCCTGTCCATAAGAAAGTTCAATTTTACCAGTAAATCACAACCTCAAAAGAACCTTTAAAAATACTTTCTTTATTAAAACTTAAACAGGGAAACTAAATCAAAGTGTTTGTGAGCTTCCTATAGATATTGGATTTCAAATGTTTCAATCTGGCTCTGAACTTACTTTAATTAGCCGTATTTCAGTTCATTTTTAAAGCTCTGATGTTGTTAGATCTAAATTTGCCCAGCAGTGATGAAGTCCTGAACTCTGTAAAAGAAAATGTGTTGTGTGGGAGTGAACCAAATCATTACATTAATTTGTGTCTTTCTGTTTTCCCTGCTTAATTTATTTCCTGAAGGATAACTTTTTTTTTCAATTCAGTTTTAATTTTGATCTACCTGAACATTTTAAATCCTCTGTAACCAGTTTCACAAACAGACAAGCCGTCCTGCGTCTCCTTTATAACACTACCCACACACACACACACACATAAGAAGGATGTCACGTGTGTCGCACAAACGTTCCCAAATCATTATCTGAAACCCCTCCTGAGAGGGTGGGTGGATTCTTCATACAAACACACACACAGACACAAGCGTGCGCGCGCACACACACGCAGACAACAAGCGTGGGAGAAACAGAATTATAAAGTGTGTAGGGCATGATGTGCAGGAATGAGACAGAGGGAGGCAGATCATGCAGTCACGAAGCAGTTTTCCTCATGTGTAAAAAGGAAAAGTTCATACTTGATGTATGCGTGTGTGTAAATGTAAAGCAAATGTTTCCCTGCAGGTGTGTGCATAGCCTCACCCTGCGCTCCCTGTCTCTGCTACTGTAAAACAGGGTGAAGTGGTTCAGATCCGATGTCCCAGACTCGGTCTGCCGTGCTTCGATGAGCCGGCCGATGTAGCGATTGACTCGTGTGGCTGGGGAGTGCTGCACGGCTGTGGCCGAGAAGGACGTCCGACTCTTCAGCTTCTCCGATGCAGTCCGCAAGGCTCGCCGCTGTCAGACAGGAAAAGACAGCGCCATCACTCAATGCACAGGTAGGCTTCAAATTGAAGGTCAGGCACACAGATTTAGAGCTTGGTCAGCAGGAGTCTTGGAGTATTTAAACATAAATAGACAAACATTGTTCTCTAAAGGTAGGGATTTTTTTTACATTACTTACCAAATTGTCCCTGAACCAAGAATAAGGTAACTTAAGGTAATTGAGTCATTCAACAATATTTGTAATGTAATGTAAAAAAAAAAAAAAAAAAAAACAACCCTAAAGTAACTCAAATAGACATTGCCTTAGTAACATGCCTCAGTTTGCATGTTACATCTCGACGTTTCTGTCAGGACAGTTGGAAAATGAGTGAATAAATCTAAATTGAAGGAAAAAAACATTTTCTCTCTAAATAGAAATGCCAGCAGGGCTTCATTTTACAAAGTTGAATCTGAATAAAACACAAGACTTCAGAAATACTGTTCTTGGGACAGATCAGACTCAATAGATATGCTTCACTGCAATTCAGACCACTATGTCAACAGAAAATCAAACGCATATCCGCACAAACACCTCATACTAACTGCCAAGCGCGGTGCCAAAGGATGGGTCATTTGGAGTTTTTCAGCTACAGCACATGTGTCAAACTCAAGGCCCGCGGGTCACATGTGGCCCACCATGTCATTTTATGTGGCCCCCCCAGCATTTTATAGGCCCATGATTGATTTAAAATAGTGTTTGAGCACGAATTGACTACAAACTACATCTCCCACAATGCATTCCGATTGTTAAAAGCCAACAATTACGGCTTCTCGCCACTAGAGAGCAGCAGAGTCACCTCAAGCTGCAGATTGATTTTCCCAGCGAATAAAACTGAGACATCCACAAGCTAGCATCAAAACGTCCAAGAAAAGAAAAATCGATTTGCAAGTAAGACTGTGAATGAAGATGTGTGTGAGTTGGAGTCAGGGCGGCAGGTCGCGCTAGACTTTTTTTGTTATCCGTTATCTTGACCGACAACATAAAAATAAAAAATAAAAAAAATCGGTCATGTACTATTTTTATCCGTGAAATTACAATCATATTAACATCGGCTATTTAATCGCCTTTATGCGGTTTAGTTAATATTCACCGTGAATCCAGATCCCATCACAAATTAAGCAGATAAATGTATCTACATTTTTCTCGTAGTGACAAAAACCACCCCAATAACTTAATAAATTAAATTAAGCGACTTCACTTAAATTAGCATCACTTTACCCACTGGGGTCTGAACGCACTTCCTCCCGATCAGATCAGATCAGATCAGATCAACTGAATTCTGTGAGTGTTTAACCCTGTGCGGTCCGGTGTGCGCTTCTACCAGGATTTATTTATTTATTTATTTTTTGCGTGGTTTCGCTTCTCCGAAACCGACAGATGTTACGTCTGCAGCTCCTCCAGGACGCCGCTCTCCTGGGCGTTCTGGACTCTGTAGAACCATTTGTCTCTGCTAATGACATCTCCAATACATTTTTTGATCCCAGGCTTAGTTTATGGACTGAACAGACAGAAACAGTTACCATGATACATTTTAAACTGTTGATTTTATTTTTGAACCATTTTTTTATGGTTCAAAAATACATTTTACATTTTTTAATTGTAAAGTGTTGATTTTATTTTTGAACCATTTTTAATTGTAAAGTGTTGATTTTTTTTTTTGAACCATTTTTAATTGTAAAGTGTTGATTTTTTTTTTTGAAACCTTTTTTATTGT